AAAAAAAAAAAAAAAAAAGAAGACACTGTATAGCATTTTGACTGCAGCAATAACACAAAGGTTAAAATAAAAAGTGAGGAAGCTAGTTTTCATTTTCAAAGGAAACAAACCAAACCTATAATGAAGGTTTCAAACGTACTTTATTTCAATAATGCCATATTTTAATGGGTATACAGTGCTTTTACTTGGCATCAATTATGAGTTGGTTCTGAAACAATTCAGTATTACACCAGCTGGGATGATTACTGATCTCTCCATTCCTTTGGGGTGACTCTGCCAACAGGGGACAGGTTCCATTCTATTCCAATTTGTGTCACTGCCTGTAAAAATTAAAATGCTGTCATTTATACATATTGAAACCAGAGTCCACTCTGCCTTGCAGTCTATTTCTTAAAAATGACAATGCTATTTAGTCCTATAGGTTAAATACACAGAAACTCAAGTATAATATAGTGCCTCCCGTGTAGACCAAACCTAACTGCTGGCCTAATTCTCTAGAGCTGCAGTCCCCACCACCTGGGCCACAGACTGGTACTAGTCCATGGCTTAGTAGGAACTGGGCCTCCTCCCCTCCCAACCGGGTACATGGAAAAATTATCTTCCATGAAACCAGTTCCTGGTACGAAAACAGTTGCTCTAGATCAGGGGTCCTCAAACTTTTTAGACAGGGGGCCAGTTCACTGTCCCTCAGACCAGTGGAGGGCCAGACTGCAGGCCCCAGGACTAGTCGGCTGCTAAGCAGAACAGGCAACTGAGGCTAAAACACCTGGTAAGTGGGATAAATGTCCTTGGCGGGCCATAGTTTGAGGACACCTGCCAAGTCTAGATCAGTGCTATTCAATAGAACTTTCCAAGATGAAGGAAATGTTCTATATCTATGTTGTCCAAAACAAAAGATAGTAGCCACATGTAGCTACTGAGCACTTGGAATTTGGCCAATATGACTGAGGAATTAACTTTTTATATTTTATTTAATTCAAATTCATACTTCATATTTCTTTTTGAGACAGAGCCTCAAGCTGTCCCCCTGGGTAGAGTGCCATGGCATCATGCTCACAGCAACCTCCAACTCCTGGGCTCAAGCGAGTATCCTCCCTCAGCCTCCCAAGTAGCTGGGACCACAGGCGTCCGCCACAACGTCTGGCCATTTTTTGGTTGCAGCCATCGTTGTTTGGCGAGCCCGGGCTGCGGATTCGAACCCGCCACCTTGGGCGTATATGGCTGGCGCCTTAACCACTTGAGCCATAGGCGCCGAACCATACTTCATATTTCTATACTAAATACTCAAAACATTGTTTCCCTCAACCACAACTACCTAAACAACTGCCAAAGAGTGATCTGTAATATCTTCTCATCGTTAAGGAGCATTTCAACTCCAATACCTCCTCTGATCAAACATTACTTCAACATTTGCTCATCCCTCTAATAAAGTACACACTTACTTTAATAGTATACTCCATTATAGGAAGATCAAAACAAAAATGTTAAAGGACTATTTATTAAATAAAATTTCTAAAGTACACACTTACTTTAATAGTATACTCCATTATAGGAAGATCAAAACAAAAATGTTAAAGGACTATTTATTAAATAAAATTTCTTTATTAAGGCAAGGATTGACTCATCAACTTAGATAACATTTATTAAAACTTCAGGACTTCTAGCTCAGTGCCTGTAGCTCAAGCAGCTAAGACACCAGCCACATACACCAGAGCTGGCGGATTCAAATCCAGGGTGCGCCTGCCAAACAATGACAACTACAACCAAAAAATAGCCAGGCGTTGTAGCGGGCACCTGGAGTGCTAGCTACTTGGGAGGCTGAGGCAAGAGAATCACTTAAGCCCAGGAATTGGAGGTTGCTGTGAGCTGTGATGCCATAGCGCCCTACACAGGGCAACATCTTGAGGCTCTGTCTAAATAAATAAATAAAACTTCAGGACTTCAGGCTCGGTGCAGCGGCTCACACCTGTAATCCTAGCACTCTGAGGCTGAGGCAGGTTGATTGTTTGAGCTCAGGAGTTTAAAATCAGCCTAATCAAGAGCAAACCCCCATCTCTACTAAAAATAGAAAAATTAGCTGAGTGTGGTAGCAAGTGTCCATAATCCCAGTTACTTGGGAGGCGGAGGCAAGAGAATCACCTGAACCCAGGAGTTTGAGGTTGTTGTGAGCTATGATGCCATGACACTCTAGCCTGAGGTAAACAGAGTGAGAGACTGTCTCAAAAAGAAAAAAAGAGGCTCGTCGTTTATAGCTCAGAGGCTAGGGGGCCAGCCACATATACTGGAGCTGGTGGGTTCAAATGCAGCCCGGGCCTGCCAAATAACAATGACAACTACAACCAAAACAAATAGCCAGCCATTATGGTGGGCGCCTGTAGTACCAGCTACTTGGGAGGCTGAGCCAAGAGAATCACTTAAGCCCAAGAGTCTGAGGTTGTTGTGAGTTGTGACACCACGGCACTCTACCAAGGGTGACAAGTTGAGACTCTGTCTCTAAATAAATCAATCAATAAATAAAATTCAGTACTCTTTCCTTTTTTTTTTTTTTTTTTGAGATAGTCTCACTCAGTTGCCCTGGGTAGAGTCTCATGGCATCATGGCTCACAGCAACCTCAAACTCCTAGGCTCAAGCAGTCCTCTTGATTTAGCCTCCAGAGTAACTGACAGGTGCTCACCACAACGCCCAGCTTGTTTTTCCATTTTTAGTAGAGACAGGGTTCTTGCTCTTGCTCAGGCTGGTCTTGAACTCCTGATCTAAAACACTCCACCCTCCTTGGCCTCCCAGAGGACTGGCATTATAGGCGTGAGCCATCACACCCGGCCAAGACTCCTACTTTTACCTGGTAAGTTCCGTAACTAGAAAATAGATTGTTGGGCAGTGCCTATGGCTCAGTGGGTAGGGTGCCGGCCCCATATATCAAGGGTGGTGGGTTCAAACCCAGCTCTGGCCAGCTAAAACAGCAGTGCCAACTGCAACAAAAAATAGCTGGGCACTGTGGCAGGAACCTATAGTCCCAGCTACTAGGGAGGCTGAGGCAAGAGAATCGCTTAAGCCCAAGTGTTGGAGATTGCTATGATGCCATGGCACTCTACCAAGGGTGACAAAGTAAGACTCTGTCTCAAAAAAATAAATAAACAGGGGCAGCACTTGTGGGTCAAAGAAGTAGGGCACTGGCCCCATATGCCAGAGGTGGTGGGTTCAAACCTAGCCCTGGCCAAAAAACTGCAAAATAAAACAAAATAAAATTTTAAAAATATATTAAAAAATGGAAAATAGACTGTCAAATATAAGATTTAAAAAAACTAAATATGAAAAGCAAGTTACTTTATGTTTCATCCATTAATAATATTGTGTTCAGACCTAAGTGCAAAATTTGAGAAGAAAAACTTAAGAATCAAGGAGGGTGACCCAAGACAGGGAAAATACTGGAAAACATGTAACAAAGAAATGACCAACAAGACTAATGATGTTTATTTTGAAAAAGATTTGAGAGATAGTAATGATAGTAATTTTCTAATATCTGATGGCTGTTATATGGAAGTGAGTTCACAATTTCTGTGTCACAGTGGAATGATGGTAAAATATGAAGACAGATTTTAATTCAATGTAAGATCCTTTTAACAGTTATGTAACACAGAAAATGATACCTTGTGATACAGTAAGCAATTTGTACTGGAAATGTTAAGAACATAAGATGGATGAATGCTGAATTTCTTTTTTTTTTTTTTTTTGAGACAGAGCCTCAAGCTATCCCCCCTAGGTAGAGTGCCATGGCATCATGCTCACAGCAACCTCCAACTCCTGGGCTCAAGCGAGTCTCCTGCCTTACCCTCCCAAGTAGCTGTGACTACAGGCGCCCGCCACAACGCCTGGCCATTTTTTGGTTGCAGCCATCATTGTTGTTTGGCTGGCCCGGGCTGGGGATTCGAACTCGCCACCTTAGGTGTATGTGGCTGGCGCCTTAGCCACTTGAGCCACAGGCACCGAGCCAGAATGCTGAGTTTCAAAGAAGAAATTCTTGCACTGGTTGGGTGATCAGATTATCTCTAAAGTCCCTCCTAACTAGGTATGTGTCCTACTGTGTTAAACATTTTGAATGCACAGACTACTTGAGAATGAAAAGCATCAAAAACAAATTATCAATCAATAGTACTTACATATGTCCATACAGCAATACAGAAAGTGGCTCCACTAGCTAATACAGCATTACCATATTTATCATGAAAATCAGGTGTTCGTTTCTGGTGGCTCGCCCTTGCCATTGTTTGCTGAATGTATCGAACTTATGGGGAAAAAATACAGAACACATCTATCAATTATCAGGAAAAGAGAACACATGTAATTGATATTGCCAAATCAGTAAGCCAAGGAAGTTAACTTCACAGTATTATGCAATTCAATAAAATGTCAAACCATATTGTAGTTAAAAGCAAAGTAGTATACTTTGAAAATGCATCAAAAATAAATTGACAGATGGGCAGATAAGTGATAAAACAAATATAGCAAAATTTTAACAACTATCTATGTAGTGAGTATGTGGATGTTCATACAAGTCTTCCAACTTTTCTGTATGCCTGAGAGTTCTCAGAATAAAACACTGGGAGGTGAAGAATGGGTGATATCAGTTACATTCACTACAAAGTGACATTTATATAGCCTCTGGAACTTGGCTCCTATTCATTAATTTGAATACTTACAACTTTTCACTATAGTTTACTCTATAATGCTCACCAACTTACAGCATACAAGGGCAAATAAACTCAAAATGAACTTCAAATTAATCTTTTTTTGTTTGTTTGTTTGTTTTTGCAGTTTCTGGACTGGGCTGGGTTTGAACCTGCCACCTCTGGCATATGGGGCCAGCGCCCTAATCCTTTGAGCCACAGGGGCGCACCCCCCCTTTTTTTTGAGATAGAGTCTCACTCTGTCCCTGTGGGTAGAGTGCTATGACATCATCATAGCTGACAACAACCTCAAACTCCTGGGCTCAAGCAATCCTCTTGCCTCAGCATCCCAAGTAGCTAAGACTATAGGTGCTTGCCGCAATGCCCAGCTAATTTTTCTATTTTTAATAAAGATAGAGACTCACTCTTGCTCAGGCTGGCCTCAAACTCCTGAGCTCAAGCAATCCACCTGTCTTGACCTCCCAGAGTGCTAGGATTACAGATGTGAGCCACTTCACTCAGCCTTGATTTTTTTTTTTTAATTCATGAATATGGCCCCAAAGAACTGGGATATATAAAAATGTTTAAGACATAGATCCTGTCTTCAGTTAACTTCCAATCTAGAAGAACAGACTACACATATAGACACAAATTACTGTACTGCAAGGAAGTAGAATAAGCTAAGCACTTTGAATGGCAGAGAGGATTTGGTTATAAAGATGTGGGAAAGGCGAATCTGAAAACAAACAGAAAACCCTAGTGTACTGAAAAACCAATTAAGTTTGGTTGAAAGGCAAGTTACGTGTAGGCAAGTAATTGGGGGTAAAATTAGAAGGATCAGGCTGGGCGCCAATAGCACAATGGTTATGGTGCCAGCCACATACACTGAAGCTAGCAGGTTCAAACCCAGCCCGGGCCAGCTAAGCAACAATGACAACTGCAACAAAAAAATAGATGGGCGTTGTGGTGGGCACCTGTAGTCCCAGCTACTCGGGGAGGCTAAGGCAAGAGAATCGCTTAAGCCCAACAGTTGGAGGTTGCTGTGAGCTATGATGCCACAGCACTCTACCAAGAACAACATAGTGAGACTCTGTCTCAAAAAAAAAAAAAAAAATAGAAGGATCACAGAAAGCCACTTGTTCTTCTTTTGTTTTGTTTTGTTTTTGAGACACAGTCTCACTCTGTGACCCTCAATAGAATAGAATGTCCTGGCATCAGAGCTCACAGCAACCTCAAACTCTTGGGCTCAAGCGAGCCTCTTGCCACAGCTCCCCCCCCCAGTAGCTGGGACTACAGGTGCCTGCCATGACACCTGGCTATTTTTAGAGATGCAGTCTAGAACTCCTGAGCTCAAGCAATCCGCTGGCCTCAGCCTCCCAGAGTGCTAGGATTACATGCATTAGCCACCAGGCCTAGCCAGACAACTTTTTCTGTATGCAGGGGAGGCTGGTATAAGTTTTTGAGTGTAATGACAACAGTAAAACTTTGCACTCTTATTCTTGCAGAAATAGTAAAATAATTATGTTTTCAAACTACCCGTGGGGGGCTTGGCACCTGTGGCTCAGTGGTTACAGTGCTGGCCACATACACCGGGGCTCTCTAGTTCAAATCTGGCCTGGGCCTGCTAAACAACAATGACAACAACAACAGCCAGGTGTTGAAGTGGGTGCCCATAGTCCCAGCTACCTGGGAGGCTGAGGCAAGAGAATAGCTTAAGCCCAAGAGTTGGAGGTTGCTGTGAGCTATGACGTTACAGCACTCTACAGAGGGCAGTATAGTGAGACTGTTTCAAAAAAAAAAAAAAACCTACCTATGGAGGAACTAGGGAGGACTTAGGAAAGCGCCAATACTGGAAAAAGCACTGTCTACAGATTTTTTAAATTTTTCCTTCCTCTCCAATTTAAGCAGTAGGTCCTTACTATTTTAAAGAGCCTCAAAAGGTACTTACCTATAATAAAAAGCAGACTGAGTGAGGTGATTCATGCCTATAATCCTAGCACTCTGGGAGGCCTAGCACTTTGGAGGATCCTTTAACGTCAGGAGTGTGAGACCAGCCTGGGTAAAGTGACAACCCTTGTCTACCAAAAATAGAAAAATTAGCTGGGCATCATGGCAGGTGCCTGAAGTCCCAACTACTTGGGAGACTGGGGCAGGAAAATCGCTTTGGCCCAAGAATTTGAGCTATGTGATGACGCCACAACACTACCCAGTATGACAAAGCAAGACTCTCTCTCTCTCTCTATATATATATATATACACATATATATAATGGCATCTATGTGGTACAGTGAGTTATTTCACGATAATTATTTGACCATTATTGGATCTTCTCCTGCCTTACATAGCCTTACTCTCCACCTTTAGTCACACCTGGATGAGCAAATTTACAAACATTTCACAATATAATCTGCTCCAGAAAAGTTTAAAAATTTGCATGTAAATTCCATATTGGAAAAAAAAACAAAAAACCTTTCCTGAGGTACAAGAAGGCCCAACTTGCTCAAAGGGCAAAGAAATTAAGATCAGCAAACAATTTTGCAAAACCTCAAGACTTTCACACTCAGGCTACCCAAGATGATTTCTTTAGACCTCTCCTCTGTAGCAGGAAATGGTTTAGTTACCACACATTGGTATCTCACATAATCTTTAACAACCTTCTGAGGTAGATATTATTTATAACCCCTTATTTTATAAAGGAGGAAAGCATAGTTCAGAGAGGTTAATTCATTTGCCCAAAGTGAAAGAGCTAATAAATGCAGCTTCTGTAATATGAAAAACCAGTCGGGCTGCTATTTTGTGGTTATTTTCAAAGTTTCTTGAGTGTTTAGAACACAATCTGGTAATAGCCACAATGACGATGTTAAGTGTAAATAAAAAGATACCTAACAGAGAAGCTAAATGGTAATTCAGGTCACCTTCAATGTAAAACAACTGATCACATTACTCAAGGTCACCTTCAGTGCAAATCAAGTATGGAAATACATTTTTTTTTTCCTCTCCAATCTATCCATTCTCAATACACAATGCTGGTCTCAAAATTTCCCTATATTTGCTCAACTTTAGATAAAGGAAAAAAAAGAATATAGTTGCTTTCAAGGCAGCTAATATTCAGTTAACAGCCCACAAATAACTTCAAAGCTGCATGGCTACCATTTGTCTCACTGCAATAAAAGTAGGTGAAGGAATATTTACAGTTTCCTTCCGCTACGGCTACTAGGAACTGGACAGGAGGTTCTTCTACATGAGGTGAGAAGTAAATGTACCCTCAAAGCTAGATTTCAAGACATGACTTAAGAAACAAGACGTATTCACCAAGAGTGTCCTTCCCTGAAATCAGAGGTTAAGAATTAAAAAGCAGGGCTAGATATGACTCCGATTACAGAAAGAAAGCTGAGAACCGAAACAGAAACACTGAGCGATAAAGCCAATGCTAAGGACAACTTCCTAATGACTTGGGACGAGATGGGAGACAGCATTTAGAATTAGAAGGCCAGGATGTTGGTATAGGGAAAGGACACGAGAGACTATGAGGACAAATGTGGATATATGACTGTTGTAAGTAATTTGTTCACAATTTTTGCTCACCTTGGAGACGACTTAGTGCGTTCTTGGCCAAGAAAAACATCCTGAAATTGAAAATGGAACTGCAGCAAGTCCAGGTGCTGGTTCGGCGCAAATTGACTTCAGATACCCTTGCAAAAACCACCGAAGAACAAAATGGCTTTCTGCGGAGGTCCTTAATGAGATTTGACGAAATCTCGCGAGGATCTGTAAACCTTTACCACAAGGAAAAATAAGGGCCTGTGGGAAATGTAGTTTCAATCTTTACAACTGACATACGCTTGTCTTTAAAGAAGAATCAGGTTTAGGAACTGTCTAAGGCATCAACTTCAAAATAGTGTTCAAGTTCCAGAGGGTTGGGTTTGGTATCTCACTCTTTCTGTTCCCCCCACACACACTTACTTTACTTCTTTTTTTTTGTGTGTCTTCTGTTACTATATACTAATTGGCTTAACTTTTAATTTTGAAATCATTTCAAATTCAGAGAAAAGTTGCAAGCATAGTTAAAAAGAATCCCTGTATTATGTGATATAGCAAATTTATTAAGTTGTTTATTGTAGAATCTTGGTGGTGGGTGTTCATGGTATAATCCTTTCAATATTTCTGTTCTTCGGACATTTTCATAATAAAAGATGGGAGGAGGCCCAAGTGTGGTGGCGCACACCTGTTATGAATACTTTGGGAGGTTGAAGTGAGAGGATTTCTTGAGTTCAGGAGTTGGGGGCCAGTCTTTGCAACAGAGACCCTGTATCAAAAAAAAATGGGGTTAGAACTCCTATATAATCATTATCTAGTACACCAATTAATATTTTGCTACATGTGTTTTCTCTGTCTCTGTCTCTCTCCTTACATGTATATATATTTGGGTGGGGTTTTTTCTGAATCATTTGAGAATAACTTACATACATCATGCACCTTTACCTGTTAATAGTTCAGGGTTCATTTCTCTTACATGACCACTGTACAGTTTGTACAGTTATCAAATTCATAAAACTTAATATTGAGGCTCAGAGCCCATAGCTCAGTGGTTAGGGTGTGGGTCACATACACCTGGGCTGACGGATTCAAACCCAGCCCAAGCCTGCTAAACAACAATGACAAGAATAACAAAACAAACAAACAAACAAAAAAATAGCCAGACATTGTAGTCCCAGATACTTGGGAAGCTGAGGAAAGAGAATTGATTAAGCCCAAGATTTCAAGTTTGCTGTGAGCTGTGACAGCACAGCACTCTATAAAGGGCGACATAGTGAGACTGTCTCAAAAAAAAAAAAAGAAAGAAAGAAAAGAAAACTTAATATTGATACAACACAGTTCATATTCCAATTGTTCCAAGGTCTCTCTGTCCGAATCCAGTCCAGGTGCCTACATTTAATTTAGTTGTCATGTGTCTTTAGGTTTTTTTCTTTGATTGGTTTGTTTGTTTTTTTGTTTGTTTGTTTTTGAGACAGGATGTAGATCTATTCTGGGTTAGAGTGCAAGAGTGCAATGATATCGTAATAGCTCACTGCACCCTCAAACTGTCGGCCTCAAGCTATCTTCCTGCCTTATACTCTCAAAGTGCTAGGATTACAGGGCTAGCCTACCCACCCTTAAAATTTAATAGTTCCTCAGCCTTTCTTTATCTTTCAGGGCATTATTTTTTTTTCAATACAGGTAAGTTTTATTCTCTCAGTTTTACATATGAAGAAAGTAAGGCACAGAATCCTTAGGTGATCAAGCTTGAGCTTTGATCAAGATAAAGATCTCGTAATTCTAAGGGTCAGAACTGGTAATGGACTCCATAGGTTCCTGCTCTAATTTTTTGAAGAGTACCAGCCAGTTATTTGGTGCAAGTTCTCTCAATTTGTGTTTCTTTGATATCCCCTTTTGCATAGATTCAGTTTATGCAATTCTGCCAAGAACATTACATAACTGCTGTGTCTTAGGACATCTTGTCAAAAGCCATATGAGCTTATCTTGTTCTATTCATTGGTGATACCAACTTCAGTCATTTGGACATAGTACCCTCTAGGTTTCTACACTACAAAATTACTATTTTTCCTTTTATAATTAATGTGCAAGTTGTAAAGAATAAACGAAGACTATATGAATGTTTCATTCTTCATGAAATGTTTACCACTACATTTTTGTATCCATTGATGATTTTTGCCTGAACCAATTATTGGTAAGAAAACAATGATTTTCAAATTCTACCATTCCTTCTATATTTAATAACGGGTATTCTATTGTAAGAATTTTATCTTCTCCTCTATTATCAGTATGGACTCATGGATTCAGTAAGTTATAAACTGCTGCTGTCATGGTTTATTTTAATGATCAGGAGTCCCAGATGTGATCAATAGTATTCTCTTCAATCTGGCTTCTATATCTTTTTTGACATATCTCCATCATTTTTCTAAGGATCTTTATTTTCTGACACAAGATGTTCAAGACTCATACTTCCCCTACCTCACCACTGGAATAAGCCGTGTCTCTACAGAGCTCCAACTTATTCTAGTAGGAATGGCAAACACTCAGACAAATGGGGTGTGATTGCTTTTAGTCCTTTTCAGTAAATAGAGTTAGGAATATATGTTATGAATGATAAGTTTATACTAATACCTCCAGCTCCTGTCCAACCCCTGAAAGGTCTTTATTTTCCCTCATTTCACTTTTGTATCTCCCTTCTTCATAATGATAACCCTGGCTCTCAACAACATCAATGGTTTTACATTTTACATTATACACTATATATATATATAGTGTACATATATATATATACAATATATATATATATGTATTCAGAATTTTTATGCCCATATCATTATGAAAGCAAACCTACAAAGTAGAGTTTAGGATTTGCTTGAAGTTATTTTTCTTTAGACTAACAGTATATAATCAAAGTAGTGTGTTCATAAGGTATTTAGATTAGTGCTTTTTTTCTTCTGTGTAATTACATGTTTCATTTGAAATAGAGCTGAATCCCCTTTAGTGTTTGTACTTAATTTTCATTTTTCTCTCGTTCTTACAGATTTTTTTAATCTTTAAATTTATGTTATTTTCTTATTTATTATTATTATTTTTTTAGAGGCAGAGTCTCATTCTGTCGCCCTTGGTAGAACGCTGTGGCATCACAGCTCACAGCAACCTCCAGCTCTTGGGCTTAGGCTATTCTCTTACCTCAGCCTCCAGAGTAGCTGGGACTACAAGCGCCCGCCACAATGCCGGATTATTTTTTGTTGCAGTTGCCACTGCTGTTTTAGCTGGCTGGGCCAGGTTTGAACCTGTCACTCTTGGTATATGGGGCCGGCGCCCTACTCACTGAGCCACAGACGCCGCCCTTTGAATTTGTTTTTTAACTGTGGTTAAATATACATAAAGTTTACCTTTTTAAAGGGTACAGTTCAGGGTCATTAGGTACAGTCACATTTTTGTGCAACCATCACAACCGTCCATCTCCAGGACTGTTTTCATCTTGTAAAACTAGATAACATGATTTTACATTTTGATTATTTAAAATATCGACATTCCAAAAGTAAAAACTATACAAAATGGTATACTTAGAGAAGTGTCATTCTCTGCCCTAACTGTTCCACTCCATTTCCTCTAAAAGAAGGCACTTGCTGGCTATAACCTGCAATTTAAGTTCTTGGTGCTTTAAAGAAGTCAAATAATTTAACTCAAAAAATGCAAAAACAAAAACTTCAAAATATAATTTGATGTCATTTTCCTCAAGTGCTCCTCACACAGTTTTTAGGACACAAAAGGCACTAAACAATCTCTTGTTCATGTTTACTTTTAAAAAATCTCCTTCAGTGATATTAGATATATTTTTGTTTTTCTTTTTTTACTTTTTTTTTATTTTGATTTGAAATACTTTGGAAGTAGGATGAGGGATGAATACAGCCCTTCTCACTCAACTGGTCCAATTTTTCTGGAATATTACAAGAAAGAGGTGGATTTCAAGGAGTTCTGAGTCTTTGGGGAAAAGAACCAGTTCTACCACCCCAAGCCATTTTGGACTCTGAAAAATCCGCACCATTTTATATCTGCGCATGCGTGTTTGATAAGCGCGAGATCTTTGTGTCTAAAGGGGCGTCGCATCACTAGTGGACCAATGAAAAACCTCCAGATTATCCCTTTTTTATTGGCTAACGGGGACCCGTTAGAAATGACCTGTCTTTTAGCAGGCGACTAGCTGTAGGGTACGATGACGTAAAATGACGGGTTGCCCAGAAGGACTGAGCTGGACCAATGAGGAAAGGCAAGGGGCTGGTTTGCCTGTTCTCACGCCCAGCCCTCAGATCCAGGCCGAGGAAAGTTTCGCCTGTAGGAGGGAGAGGAGTGAACATGGCAGCACGTTGGTGGCTTTGGTGTGTCTCCACGACTATGGCGGTGGCCCTTCTGCTCCTTTGCGAGGTTCCCTCGGCCATTGCCCAAAGAAAGAAGGAGGTGAGGATGCCGTTTCCAGCAACACGGGCTGTTCCCAATGAGTGGAACTTGAGAGGGTCTGTTTGCTCGTTCTTGCCCTCTTTTCCCTCCTCTAGTTCTGTGCATTTGCTGGCTTCACTTCCACTGTTTTCGGCATTGTGGTATTCGTGAGAAAAGGAACTGCAACTCCTTGACTTCTGGGGATGTACAGTCTGAGAGTGGAATGGTTAGGCGACAATCTGACTTCTTTAGGCCTGTGGAGGTACACAGCTATGAGTTTTGACACTTCTTTGAGAATGGGCCCCTTTGGGTGATTAGGATAGGGAAGTCGACTTCAGGTTCAGAGGGTCGAATAAATATCCGAGAGTCTTTTTACTATCGGCAGATGTAACTCTCTGAATGATGTGTAAGAGCTATCTATTTTGTAACATTTTAATGTCTGGAGTATGAGAATTATATCAAAGAGTGAAATTATGGCTGGTTTATTACCCTGTCTAAATAATTGTTTCAAATCAACTTAAAAAAATGAAAGCTCTTAACCATTTTCAGTCATCAAATAAATATCAAGCATGCTAGGCAAACGGACAAAACTAAGCTCTCTGTATGGAATTTTTGGGCTTTAGGAAGTGGAGGAGACATAGTATTCTTACTCACCATTAAGCAAACCAGGAAGAGGAATTTTAACATTGTGTTTTGAAACATTTGTGATTTAGAGCCATATAGAGACTTGGGTTTTCACTCTGTCCCTCAGGCTAAACTGCAGTGGCTCCATCAAAGCTTACTGCAACCTCAAACTCCTGGGTAGAGCCGTATACTCTTAAAAAGATTATTACCAGATATTTGTGCCTTTCAATTTTATAGACGCGAAAAATGGAGTCCTAAATTTACACAGTTAACTGTTGGAAAGCAGGGACTAAAGCCCTCAGTCAATCATTCTAATGCTATTTCCTGTACATTCTGTGCTTCCTCTAGCACACTAAACCTGTACACACACGTCTAAAATACCAGTTAAATATTTTGGATGCTTGTTAACTTGAGCAGAGTTAAGCTATCTTTATGTTTCTGAATATTTGAACTATGCCATAAGAAAAAAAATAAGCTAGCAAATTAAAGCAGTGAGTTATTTGTTAGATTGGCAAGAAGTAAGATAAGAAAAAAAATACAATTATCAAACGTATGGTAAAGTGAACAGGCTCATATAGTGGAACTAAATAGAGATGTACTTTCTAGGTAGAGTCCAAAGATGTTGTTAGAAGGGAAAAAAAGATACAGAGCAATACATAATTTTACATCCTAGAAGCCTTTTATGTTAAAAACAACAAACTCTATATGTAAGCATGTATATATGTATAGAGAAATCTCTGTAAGGATGCATGAAAATCCGTAACAGTGACTACTTAGGCATTTGGAATTGTTGATGAGGGAAGCACTTTTACTTTTTACCTCATGTACCACTACTGTTGTCTGAGTTGGTACAATGACCACTTTTTTTTTTTTTTTTTTTTTTGAGATCGAGTCTTTTGAGAGTGCTGTGGCTTAGCCTAGCTCATAGCAGCCTCAAACTCCTGGGATCATGCAGTCCTTCTGCCTTAGCCTCCCAAGTAGCTGAGACCATGGGTATGTGCCACCACAGCTGGTTAATTTTTCTATTTTTAGTAGAAATGGGCGGGGTCTTGATTTGCTCAGGCTAGTCTCATACTCTTGACCTCAAGTGATTCTCCCATCTCTGCCTCCCAGAATGCTAGGATGACAGGGGTTAGCCACTGTCATCCTAGCAGTGGCCACTGCACCCAGCCTGACCACTTATTTTTTAATAAAAATGTGAAGGCTTTTTTTAAAACTAACATTTCTAACAGTGGAATTATATGTATTCATTTACTCTCACTGAACTAGCAGAAGGGCCTAGCAGGAAATAGATTATTTTTAAAAGGCATTAGCACTGAATTGTATACATTAAAGTGGTTAATATAGTGAATTTTATAATATGTGAATATTACCTCAATAAAAAATTATTTTAAAGGAATCAGATTCCCTATGGGCCCAATGTTCAGACTCTCATCAAATTTACAAATATATTGTTATAACTCCTTAACTAGCTGCCCTCCAACTTATCCTTTCTGGTGCTGCCAGAGGTGCTAACATGAAAATATGAAAACCCTTCGGACTATTTGTTTTGCAGAGTATAAAAAGTCCTCTAGAGCTTGTTTGTGTCTGCTGCTTCCTGTATAGTCATACTTAATTACATGCCACCTTTGATCTTTCTATACTGTCTTCTGAATGCACTAACCATTTTTCTGCACATACAGAGCTTCTGCTGGAGTGTCTTCCTTTTCTCTTACTTCCTCCTTCTATTCACCTTAAAGTTTCTTCTTTAAAGTGCTAGTTCAAACAGTAGTACCTTTTTCCTCAGCTAAACTTTTCTTGGTTCCTCCAGGTGAATTGAGATGAATTCAGCACATTGTACTGACTTTGTTTGTATGTCAGTTTTTCCTTTAAACTGTGAGCATCTTGAATGCAGAAACTTAGTACTGTTTCTTTCTCTCACATCTAGCAGTGTCTGTCAGAATATCCTCAGTGAACATTGAATTAATTGTGTGCACATATCTGGAATCTGTTCTTTCACTTACAGATTGTCTTAGATTTCACAACCTAAAATTGGGTTTTCTCAGCAGTAAACATGGAATTAATATAAACTGGTGAAGATATTTTAGTTTTTTGGCTCGGCACCTGTGGCTCAGATGGCTGGGGCACCAGCCATATACACCTAAGGTGGCGGGTTCGAATCCAGCCTAGGGCTGCCAAACAACAATGATGGCTGCAACCAAGAGATAGCCAGGTGGGTGTCTGTGGTCCCAGATACTTGGGAGGCTGAGGCAGGAGACTCGCTTGAGCCCAGGAGTTGGAGGTTGCTGTGAGCTTTGATGCCACAGCACTCTACCCAGGGTGACAGCTTGAGGCTCTGTCTCAAAAAAAAAA